TCTCAAAACAACTATTTTTAAACAGCTAATTTTACCAAACATTTTACGATCAGCCAATACATTCAGCCGGTCAAGCCAACTAAACTAAACAATCATTCAGAACAACTGAGACAAACATATAAAATTCAGTTACTTTTATAAAATTTAGTAGCATTTAATACTAAAATGTTTAAAAAAATATGCCATATAATATTTAAATGTTAAATGAATTAATGTATTATGAATTTTTCATTGGTAATTTTGTGATATTATAATTATGTTTCCTTGAAACGACAATAACTTGTACTCCATAATAAATTGCAGTTTCTTAATTTTATTTAATTATAAATGTTTATAACTGAATTTATTTATTTTTATAAAATAAATTTACTTACAATTTAAAAAAATTACTTACAATTACACTATATAGAGAGTTTTATAACGTATAATTGTACAATACATTTATGTTGAGCAAGATTATTTTAAATTAACAATGTGAGATTTTCTTAAATTAACGTTAGACATGAACTACTGGAGTTTGACATGAAGTACTGGTTTCTTAAAATTGCATCTAGATATTCCTATATGGATGCAATTTCCAGACCTAGACATGAAGTACTGGAGTTTGATAGGGTTGAACAAGCTAGGAAGTCTGGTCGGGAAACCTATCAAATGAGATAGAGCTACTGCTAGCAGATCTAGTCTTGGATATGCTAGGATCCAAGTGAGAGTTCAGGTATACCAGGATTTCCTGACCAAATTGTTTTCACTGATGAGGATTGATAGGGAAATAACTCAACAGATCAATTGTGAGTGGTATCTAATTTTTCGTACACACTACAAAAAAGGATGGGACACTCACAAGAATTGTGTAGAAAGAGATAAGAACCTAAGCAAACTTATGGATAAAAAAGGTTGACCTTGAAACCTAAGAAGATTTAATTATATAAGAATGAGAAGCAACAGGAAGAGAACAAAGTGGCAACCAAGAATGAGGAAGTGGGAAACAAAGAGACAGAGGAAGTAGAGTTACAAGGAGTTGATGAAAGAAAATCTGCTAGAAGAAGTCATTTAGATGAAGAGAAACAGGAAATGGGTATGTCTTTAGATAAAGTCTTACATGAGGCCCCATATGCGGGGCACTACCCCTCTTGACATGATATAGGATGTTGGAATGTTAGAGGGCTAAATAGCCCTAAACAAAATGAAATCAACTATTTTATCAGGTAGTATGATATTACCTTTTATGTTAGAAACTGGAACAAGGGGAAATAATTTCAAGGGGACTGAAGGAAGATGGTTCAAAGGTTGGGAATCTTATATCAACAATACTGCTCACTACTTCGGCAGGATTCGGATTGTTTGGGACCCTGCTAAGTTTGATATTAAGGTGATACAAGTGACTGATCACTGTTGGAGATAGCAGGGGTTTCTCCCTCACTTTCGTGTATAACTGCTATAACACTGGGTTTTACAAAAAACCAATGGAGCACGGTGGGAGAGCTTGTCACCAAGGCAACCCTAGATGTCTTCCACACAGGTGACACCCTCAAACAAATAAATGACACTAATATTACAGTCATCCCTAAAATCCTCTGTAGCAGACTTAAAAGAGACCTTCCCACTATTGTTGATCTGAATCAAGGGGCCTTTATAGAAGGTAGAGAGTTAGTGCATAATGTTCTCATGTGTCAAGAATTGGTTAGAGGGTACAAGAGGAAAGGGATTACTCTTGGATGCTTGATGAAATTAGACATAAAAATGTTTATGACTCCGTGAGCTGGAAATCTATAAATCAAATTCTCTTTGCTTTGAAGTTCCATCCCAAATTCATGGACTGGATTAATTTCTGTGTGAATAATACTTCCTATTCTATCCTACTTGATGGAAATTTTTATTTTATTTTAGAGGAGGTAAAGGTCTCCGCCAGGGGGGCCTATCTCACCCTTGCTTTTTGTTCTCATTACGGAATACCTCACTAGAACTTTCCATTACTTTGCCAGAGTTGGAAAGTCCATGTTCCATCTATGTGCGATTATTTGAACCTTGTTAATCTTGTTATTGCAAATTACCTCATAGTAGTCTGCAAGGCTGAGGAGGATTGAGTTTGCCTTGAGAGCTCTAGATCATTTCAAGCAGGTATTTGGCCTTTAAGTGAATTACAATAAATCCCAAATAATTATTGGGGGAGTTCCTTTAGTGACTGACAATGTTATGAGGAAAGCTAGTATGAGCAAAGTTGAGTTCCGCTTTAGATACTTAAGGGGACCCATCATAGATTAATAAGAGAAAGGGAGTATGACAGGACTGACAACCTTGTGAAGAGCCTAACTACTAAAAATATTTCATGGACTTCGAAACTCTATTATCATAATATTAAATATAATAAAAACGATAAGCTTTTCCATGATGATTTGTGTTGTTCCCGATAAGTGTTAGATGACAATTGAGAAACATTGAGGATCGCTTTGAGCGCAAAACATTAGGGGACAGTTTTGTTGATTTGATTTCTCTTCAATTGCTTTTTTGCCTTACAAATTCTTGAGAGCTCATGTTACCCATTATCAGTTGTTTTTGTTTAAAAAAAAACTCATGTTATGTTTTGATTTATAGGCCACCGACAATAATCAAGATGTTAAAACAAGCAGCATCGTGTGTGCTAATTGTGATGGAAATGGTGAGTAGATTGGTCGGCATTTTCACGTTTAGATTTCTTTAAACTTATACTCCCTCCGTCTCATAAACTCCTTCCCCTTTCTTTTTTTTCTTGTCCCAAGAAATCATTTCCTTTTCTAATAAAAAACCACTTTTACCCCTACTAATTCTTACCCTATCTATCACATCATACCTTTTTACTAATAATCTATCCATCACATCAAGGGTATTTTTGGAAAGTCAACACCAAATTATCCATCCCTAAAATTTTCTAAAAGTCAAAACGGGAACATCTTCATGGGACGGAGGAAGTATATCTTATTTGCAATTTTTGGTGTATGTATAATAACCTTTACGTGATATGAATAAGGTCAAGTATTATCAGAGTATTAAACCTTTCTTGGGCCTGTGGTTGGGTTGGTTCCTTGCTGACCAAGAGGTCACCAATTTGAACCTCACCACAAAAATTAATGTTCACGTGCAAGGCTCGAGCAAAAAAATCTCACTTGCATGTGAGGGTTCGTATTAGAGTATAAAGCCTTTCTTAAGCGCACAACCACAATCTTGAATTTGTGGTTGAGTTCTTGAATTTGTGGTTGAGTTAGTTTCTTGACATGGTATCTGAGCATTTGGCTTGAGCCCGTGGTTGTTGGCCTTGGAATAATTTTATACTCCAATATGCTCCCTCTCATGGCGAGATTTTTTTTTGCTCTTGAACATTAATTTTTTTAAAAAATTGAGTGACGATGATGTTTTAACTGTGACCTTGTGGTCAACAAAACTTTGGTACCATGTCAAGGAACCAACTTAACCACAAGCTCAAGGTTGTGGTTCTATACACTAACAAGTATAGTTTCTGTTTTCTTTAGATGTATTAAAACACATCACTTTCACTTTTTGTTTCACTCTCGTTGCAAACAAGCTTTGCATTTTTTTTAGTTAAGATTATTTTTTTTGCCGTTGTTTTTAATATTGAATTGACAGGGGCGGTATTGTGTTCGCAATGCAAAGGAAGTGGTGTAAACTCTATTGATCATTTCAACGGGCAGTTTAAAGCCGGTCAACTTTGCTGGCTTTGCCGGTAAGGCATTGCGCCATTGCCTATAACTCCTAGGCTGCTGTCACAAAAACAATTTTTTCGCTGTCATGGAATGAAAAATCTAAAATAAGTGCAAGGGAATGACATCTTAGATACTCCCTTTGTTCCATATTAGTGCTGATAAACAATTAAACTCACATGTTTAAACCACCTCTTGTTTTGTAGAACTTATTTAATATAAGTTTTTATTTTTTATTCTAAACCATTTTTTAAATAAATTGAATTGAAAATAGTTTCAGTCAAACATCATAAACCTAATCTGGAACACTATATAGGAATGGAGGGAGTAAATGCAATGCTATGTCTTTCTTTTTGTTGAAAAAAGCAGGCGGTAAGTTTTTAGTGTTTTTCCTGCAGAGGTAAGAACGAGATTCTTTGTGGTAATTGCAACGGAGCTGGCTTTACTGGTGGATTTATGAGCACTTTTGATGAATAAATCAATGACTAGATTGAGTGCTATTCACCACCAAACCATGCCAACAAAATGGTAAAAATGCTTTAATGCGTACTGGATTTGAATAAAATGGTGCATAGTTGCATACTATTTGGTTTTTGTGTCATTTGTGTTAGACCTAACCACTCATTTTCATAATATTTTTAGTGCTCTCATCTTAATTTGATTACTTTTTAAACGAATATCAATTATTAAGTGAGATAATAGGGTTGAGATAACTTTTAAGGTGTCATTTAGGAAAGTAACAATATGCATTAAGTTAATTGTCTAATCTTACCATTTGAAGGAAACAAATCCATGGGCACGGAGGAAACCTTTGTTATAGCCTTATAGGTTAATTGTTGAGGCCTTCATCCCAGATTGAACACCTTGAGACGTGCAGTTACATCTGGGACAGCAATTTTTAGAAAGTGATAAAGATTGTGAAACAAACTAAAAGGAACATGTGGAAGCTGGGTATAAGAATTAGTGGAAATTGTTTCACTACAGTAGGCACGGCTGCGGATGACAGCGGAAATAAGCGGCACAGGAGGAGGTTGTAGGAGAGTACAAGAACAAGAAGGGAGAATCGGGGTAGGATTTAATTAATACTTCATAGTTAACTAGTGCATTTTACCAAATGAACATTACTAATTACTCCATAACTAATTAATTAAATCTTATTCAAGGTGTATAAAATATTAAGAGTCTTATATTAGGAAAAAGTACATTTTTTAGTACTATATCTAGGGCAAATTTCACTAGAATTATAGTTCTCCGTTTGAAATGAATGCAAAGTGTAGAATATATTTGCAGCATGGTATAAGAATCCTAAGTAATTTCCAAATGGCAGAGAACTTCATATTCATCATTCACATAATCAGACCAAAAGCATGATGAAATTTATTTCAATTTAAACTCAAATTATTTTAACAACCCAATAATCAAACCATGCAAATTCACTTAGTATCAACTTCTCTTCTCTCATCTAAGCAGCAGCTGAGGAGGACACACTGTTACATTCATTAAAGCCATACCACACTCCCCGGGGTACAAATTTGTTGTACTTAAAGGTAATAGACCTGTGGTTAGGACTGTACACTGTGACAGTCTCTGGTTTCCAGCCGTCCGATCCCACCCTGTATAGATAGAGATAGCAGATATCATACATGCAGGGCCCCTGGATCTGGAATGTGTCCTTTGAGCATCTCTCAAATGTCTTCGAATGGGGATCGTCAAGCCTTGGTGCATACACCTGATAGCCAAACACAAATTGTTGTTTGGGTTTTGAGCCGATTCACATCCGTTAAATATGAAAAGACAAACCAATATGTGAGACATTAGACTTTCCCTCTTACTAAGGTAGGTTTGTGACCTTCTAGAATGGAACTCCAAGTCTTAACTATTGGCGTAACGAGTAATGTTTAACAATAAGTCATCAGATATACTCCCTCTGTCCCAAAACTAAAGGCACATTTTGACTTTTTTCGTCAAATTGCTACATACTTTGACCATAAATTGTGAAAAAAGTGCATTTAGTTACAATGTAAATTTAATATATTTTGGTTCATTTTAAGATTTAGTTTTGATATATGAAAGTTTTATAACATTTATTTATTTAAAGCTATATTTATTATTGTCCAAAGTGAGTAACAGTTTGACCAACAAAGTCAAACTGTGTCTTTAGTTTTGGGACATAGAGAATACAATATATTGATAAGGATTGATCTTCACCTCATTCCGGTAAGAATCGCCGAATGAAAGGCTGATTTTATCTCTGGTGTACTTCACTGAGGAACAGCTTGTTTTGATGCTCACTGTGTATGAACATTTGCTTGAGCCAATCTGAAATCAAACCATTTCAACAGAAGTGATTAAAACAACCCTTTTCTTTTGCATCTAAAATTGAGCATTTTTTGGGGGATTTAATGATTGATATGTAAAATTTACCTTATGGCTGGCATTATTGGTAGTGAAAGACTTATCAATATTTGGCTGTTTTGAAAGATCTCTTGAAGCTCTGGTTGTTGTGATCAAGAAGAAGATGATGGCAGTGAGGAGAAGGATGATGGAGGGCTTTTCAGTCATTTTTCTTCGCTGGCCACTTCAAACCATGAATTTCTGTCTCTTGTTTTACCAATAGATGTCAGTGTTGTTCATATTTAAAGTTGAGAGCTGTAGCTGTAATTGCAACAACTCTCAATTAATTAATAGCTGGCTGGTAAACTTAATCTCCATTTGATTATTCTACATTTTCAACTGCTTTCTTTTTTATTTGTCCATCCGTACAAAATAGTCCTATTTCGTTGTACACATTTTTTTCCATAACTAGCACACATTAGAATGGGACTCAATTGGGTTGTATAACTAACACACACGTAGAGTTATACCAAAAATTTAAAAAAAAACTTTAATTCCCTTCGTCTCAATTTAAATCACATATTTTGGTTTATGATATTTGATTGAAATTATTTTCTTCGATTCAATTTTTTTAGAAATTGGTGTGTAATTAAAAAATAAAAATTAAGTGTAACATAGAAACATACTTCAATACTACATTATAAATTTTATAAATCAAGAAGTAATATGATTATATTATTTAATCAAATGAGTAATAAAAATAGACAAAAAAAAGTTTGACAATAAGAATAGTGAACCAACAAATTAGATTAGGATTGAGGAATAAATGACGAGATAAATTAGAATTTGATTGCAGATTAGTGGTAGCAAGTGGAACCTCTATCTGATACTTGTAGAGGTCATCACAATTGCTAGGGATCAAACTTAAGTCTACTCCTTTGACACTTCTTACTTTTACCAAGTGCGCAATGCCTATCGACATATATAAATATATACCTCCATCTTTTAGAAAAGATTTCGATAAGGTTTTACTTTTAAATTTTTATTAAGCCACAACCATTATGAAAATGCTTGTTTTTTTATTAGATATGGATAAAGAGAGTAAGCTTAAATATTTAGAAAATATAAAATGTAAAGAAACTAGTCTTGTTATTGGCATATGACGAATTTTTGCCTTGTTTTTATCATTAATTTGAAAAATCTATTTTTATTTTGATATATTTTTTTTGCGATTAAATGAAGGATAGATAAACTTCGACCTAGTTTGTCAGTTTGTGAACAACGTGGTCGATTAGCGTTAGCGTTTTGGATAAAATTTTATAGAAATCATCCAATATAGCACCATTAACTCATTAAGTATTACAAAATAGGGTTAAGCAGTGAAATAGCACTATTGCTTACATTTTAATACCTATTTTGCACTGCTATTGAAAGTAGTGATTTCTGTCATCCAAGAGGCATGCAATTCCGTTTTTTTCTTTGAGGTTTTACAAAGGTAAAGAATTGATTTGAACCTGGCAGTGGATTTTCCGATTCTTGAGGTCAGCTAATCAGGCGGCAGATTCACAATTATAGTCTGTTGCATGCTTCCGGTTATTGAGGTCGACGAATTAGGCGGTTGTTTCGCACTTCCCAATATAAGAATCGAGAAATATGATGTCTATGGAGCTTAAGAACCCAGAGAGATCTATTCTGCAGAGAAGACGCAGTGCAAGGATTACAATGGCCAAGGAGGATGCTTTGCGCAGTGGTGAGCAAGCATTGTCAGAGGATGCACTCGAAGAAATTCCGCTGCGTAAAAGGATGGAGAAGGTGCAGGTATGAGTTTTCAATGCTTATATGTGATTGTAGGCGGGTAAAGATTGCATTTTGGCATTATGCATGGCTGTATTTAGCTTTCTTTGTTGGTTTATTTTGACATTTGATTTTTCTTATGTAATTTGGGTGGTTTTTTTGGTTTCAAATGTGATACTATGTATGTATTTTGTAATGCCAAAATTTTTTTGGTGGAGTTGTTGACTCTGGTAGATGAACATGTTTTTCTTTGTTTTTTAGAGTGTTCGAGATTTTAGTTTTTGGAAGTAAAGCAGCTTTGTTCCTAACATTCTTAATGGATTTACAAATGTTCTGACTTTAATGTTCTGTTTGTTTTGGAATTTGGGGTACCAAATGCATGAAATTTCTTCCTCGAAGTTTTGGTTTTTGGCATATGGTTGTGTGTTGGTGATGTTCTAGGGTTTCCTTTTTCATGATGATTACACCTTTTTCATAAAATGTTTATTAAGATGGTCTCAATGTTGAATTTGCGTTCTAATTCTAATTTTGGGTTTAGTGGGTGAAGTTTTAGTGTATGGAATTGTGTTTGTTTATACAATATTGTTGAAGTATATTGTGCATATATCGGAGTTGGGTTGTGTGGTCTGATGTGGAAGTGTGTGTGCTTTTAGTGCCAGTGTTTTGTAAATGGCATTGTATGGTTTATTTTTGTGTGTGGCATTGCAAATTTTTTTGGATAACCCTTGCATTCTGGCATTATGCATGGCCATATCTAGGTTTCTTCACTTGTTGACTTGGAATTTTGAATTTCTGGTATTACTGCCTGACTTTGTTTTAATGGCGCAGTGTGGTTCTTTTATGTATGGTAGTGCAAGTAATTTTTTTAATAATTTCATGTGTAACCTACATTGGGCAGTGGATATTGTGGGTTCTTTAGACATGTGCCATAATTGGGTTTGATTAGTAATTTCATGTGTAGCCTACATTGACATTTTGAGTTGAATAATTTGTGAGGTGCATATGACTGCTTTCTGCCTTGTACAGGACGTGCATAGGGTGGAGAAAGGTGGCTTTCTAGATGGTAGGATTAATACGTATTGCAATGTTAATGAGGTGGCAAGACAAATTAGAACGATACTGAATCGAGAGGAGGTTAATAGGTTTAGATCTTCTGCATTCGGTGTTCTTTTGGATGTTTTAGAGTGTCCATGGATTAGCGGTCAAATACACACACATCCCAGCCTTTAAAAGCAATGGGAATGTCTCAAACGCCCATACTTGTAGTTTCAAACATGTAGTCTCCAAATGTAGGCCGAGTGCTACCTCCCTTTTCAATACACAAAGACACCTATACACATGATCAACCAATTCTTTCCACACTTCATCCCCCCACGGGTAACTATTAAACTCATCAAGATCATCAATTAAGTTCAAATAACTCATTGGTAAATTAACTGAGGGTTGGTTACCCAGAAACGAATTTCCCAAGGGAGAAGGAACAAACTAGGAGTAAAACATAGGTCATATCTTTAAAATAGGAGTTCAAACTTAAACTCCTCTAAATAGGAGTAGAACATAATTAATAAAACAAAAAATACTCCCACACGCACATTTGTTTTAAAGATGCATGCGAACTAAAAGTCAGGAGCATTGATCACTGCATGCGACTTTTTTTTGCAATGTTTTTGAGTTTTTCATTTTTTTATTTTCTATAAAAAGTTAAAATAAAGATTTTAACTTAATTAATAAAACAAAAAATGCTCCCCACACGCACTGCATTTGCGGCCAATACCAGTGGTGGCCAAATTCAAAACTAAAAAAATTCGGCTAATTTCACAACAGCATGCTACTGACAGCGACGCCCACTGCCGCAATCGTCGTCGATGATGATGCCCACCGCCGCCATCGTCACCGCCACATACCTGCCACTATCACTTGAATCTCCACCACCTCCGTCCTTTGCTATGCCGTACCGCTACAAATGAAACCTACTATTGACGCCTTTGATTTTTCGTTGTCACCATCAATTCAATGATATCAGTGCTATATACCATTTTCAACAACACTGTCATCACAATCTACACCATCGTCGCCACAGTGGTGCCAAATTAATAGTTAATACGGTGTCAAAGAAAGACATTATAATGTCAAACATGACACCATGTAATGTCACATATGACATTATATAATACCATAGATGCCTATATATAATGCCACATATGCTCATATATAATGTTACAATGTTACACAATGACATAATGCCAAACCAAATCCAATGACACTGTATAGGTAGATACTTGAAATGTAACAGTCTTCTACAGCTCACTAAAAGCATGCAACGAAAGTTTTACTGATAGACCAATTAATCCTTCCCGATGCTTCGCTTTACCATTTTTATTATAGCAAAAAAAAAGCAATCTTCGGCATCATTTCGTATATATACGGCGGTGGCCATTGATAATGGTTAAATGTTCCTTTTTAAAAAAAAAGACTGAAAAATTCACAGAGATGATGGCGGAAGCCTATGCACCCAATATATACACTTTTTTTAAAACTTAATTTGGTGCAAAACAATAAATTTATACACATCCCCAGTTCTAAAGCATAATTTTGCAATTTCAATTCATTGAATTTAGCAATTAAATTTAATTCTTTATCACATGTCAACAAATAAGAAAAAGAAATAAACCTATTAACCTCCTCTGAAGTCAATATCGTTCTAATTTGTCCAAGTATCTAGAATTTCAACATGTCCTTCCTGCCCCCGCCATCAGTAGACCTCACCCAATTTCCAACCAAATGTATGAGTAATTGACCGCACATGGACACTCTAAAACATCCAAAAGAACACCGAATGCAGAACATCTAAACCTATTAACCTCCTCTGAAGTCAATATCGTTCTAATTTGTCTTGCCACCTCATTAACATTGCAATACGTATTAATCCTACCATCAAGTAAGCCACCTTTCTCCAACCTCTGCGCGTCCTCTACAAGGCAGAAGGAAGTCATACGTACATCACAAATAAATCAACTCAAAATATCAATGTAGGCTACACATGAAATTAATCAAACCCAATTATGGCACATGTCTAAAGAACCCACAATATCTACTGCCCAATGTAGGTTACACTTGAAATTATTAAAAAAATTACTTGCACTGCCATTTATAAAATGAACACACACTGCGCCATTAAAACAAAGTCAGGCAGTAATACCAGAATACTAGAAATTCAAAATTCCAAGTCAACAAGTGAAGAAACATATATATGGTCATGCATAATGCCAGAATGCAACGTTTATCTAAAAAAAACTTGTAATGCCACACACAAAAAATAAACCACACAATGCCATTTACAAAACACAGGCACTAAAACCACACAAATTTCCACATCAGACCACACAGCCCAACTTTGATATATGCAAAATGTACTTCAACAATATTTTATAAACCAACACAATTCCATACACTAAAACTTCACCCACTAAACCCAAAATTAGAATGAGAACAAAAATTCGACTGAACATTGAGACCATCTTAATAAACATTTTATGAAAAAGGTGTAATCATCATGAAAAGGAAACCCCCGAACATCACCTACACACAGCCATATGCCAAAAAACAAAACTTCGAGGAAGAAATTCCATGCATTTGGTACACCAAATCCCAAAACAAACAGAACAATAA